CTCTCTATCTCTACTACAAAATGAAAAATCCCTAAGTCCTTTAAAAAGAACAAAAAGTTTCGTAGCCAAAAAGATACACAAAAAATATATATACATGAGGGGGATAAAAGAAATAAAAAAAAAATATATTGTGGCTACAAGGAGGGAAAAAAGACAAAAAGGATTAAAAGGAGAAGTGTCAGAAAAAAGAAGAAGAGATATACCAGTGGAAGTTGCAGTAGAAGTTGCTACTGAGAGTAGACAACAAATCACAAAGGATTTATCCAGTGTATTGCCAGTACACCATACCGAGTCTACCATACCTATTGTGGACCCTGTTCTAGAAAATAAAGATTTATTTGCAGACAATTACACGAGAACAGAAGTCCTAGAAGAACAAATTGGTGATCTCAATCAAGAAGCCGAATCACCTGAAGAAGAAGGGATGCAACTTATTGATACAGTTGTTCTCACAGATCCGAATAGAAGTCCATTCAGATCCCCTCAAAACTTTGTGCAGATGGATGATCAAGATGATGGCATATTTTCATCTCTATTTGCAAAAGTGGTCGAACAAAATTGGTTGAACAAAACCAAAAGCTAGAACAACAACACACAGATACACGAGTCAATCTGAAGGAATTAATGGAGCATCAAAATATTTTGAAGACTCAAATTGACAAAGCTGAAAGAATCTTGAAAGCAGAATTGACAAAATGCTTACTTGAAGTGATTCAGCTCATGAAGAAGGAACGAGAAGCAGCTGAAAAGATTAACAACGAACGCCACTTGTGACAAGTCAAGGCGATTCAAGATCAAGAAAGCCAAATCAACAAACTTGAAGTTGAGCTCGTAGTTACAACAAACAAGCTGGACAACGTACAAACCGTTTCCATTGAAACACACAATAGTGTTGAAGCTGTGAAAGCAAACCAAGACCGAGATTGTAAAACCCTTGCATTTTTGGTTGATAACGCCAAAAGGGGGGAAGAAATTCTCAGTCACTTGGCTTTGCAACAACAAGAATTTATTCTTGGAAGCCAACAACAGCCAGTAATATCTACTCAAGGTAGAGGCCGAAGCCGCGGACAATCCTCACAAGGACCATCTCAGATTGGTTTTGCTCAGTTCGCGAATCCTAGTCTTGGTACGAGTACATCGAAGGTTGCTGAAACTCGTGGCTGGTTTGAATGCTCTAAAGGTACCGCCACTCAGACAACAATATGGACTAAGGAAAATCTACCAAACATGATTAAGAAATGGTCTGCAGTGGATCAAGCCCAATGGATCTCGGGGAAGAATAAAGAAGAAGAAGGCAAAAGGAAAAGAACCGAGATGTGGTATGAACTAAGAGATTTCAATGGAAATATGGGCATGAATCTTGGAGAAGAAAGAAGCTTCAAAGAATGCGTCCTATGGTGGGAAGCCGGAGTTCTTCCGGGCAACAATATCAAAGAAGCTTTTGGATATTACATGGCCGGACAACTTACAAAGAAATTTCAGAATGCAAAGTTCAAAGATGATTTCTTCAAGCTCAGAGAACATGTCAAGGAAATTTTGAAGAAAGACTCTGGTGTGAAGAAACCCAGAAGGTAATCTGAAAATTCTCTTAAGCTGATATTTTCTATTTTCGAACCTCTGTTGCGTTTTTCTTAATATTTTCGAAATATATCAATAATAATTTCCCATGGTCTATTTTGAGTATTTAATTTTTTTTGTTTAATGTAATTAGATTTTCGTGAATTAAAAGACAAGAAATATGTCAAACGCACGACAAAATTAAAAATTTTTTTGATGATGATCAAAATAAAAATAATTCAAGATGCATTTAGGAGCTTGTCTAAAAATTAATTCACAAGTTTCTTTTGATTGTTTCTAGAAAACCATTGTTAAACTCATCTTGGCTTTATCAAATAAAATTGAGCAAAAAGATTATTTTTCAAAGACTTAAAGCCAATGACTGAGTATAGGTTTTGGCATTATCAAAAGGGGGGAAATTGTTAGGAATAAAGTGTGATGGTTTTGATATGCCAAATATGTATTTGTAGATTCCCCAATTTTATTTCATAGAGTCTTAGACCATGATCGGGAAATTATTTAAATTGGAAAAGAGAAAAACAGAGGAAGATGCATGAAAATAGAAGAAGAAGATATCAAGCCGAAAATCTAGAATCTGTCTGGAGAAAATGACAAATTGAAGAAGAATATAAATGATATGAAATCACGTCAATGCTACTCAAATAAGATATCACAGAAGAATTTTCGTGAAGAAAATTAAGATTGGAAGATTGCCTGAATTTGACTTGGAGATCAAGCATCTATGGAAAGAAAGGAGTACATCAAATGTGATTGGAGATTTAATCAATAGTTGTACGGACGAAGTGGATGAAGCTTGATATGTTATGCGAAATGGCTCAAGTTTGAAACTCACTATTAACAATTTTACAAGGTAAAATTTGAGAAGCCAAAATTAATTAAATCAGATGGAGTTGGGCGCTAGTGAAAATTGGGAAGCAATTTCACTTGGGTGGCAATTGCACTTGGGAGCCAATTGAGATTGAGATGCAAATGCACTTGGGAGCCAATTCAAAGGAATTGGGAGCCGATTTCATAGCAATTGAAATCGGGAGCCAGTTTCAGAGAAATTGAAATTGGGAGCAAGTTTCACGTGGGAATCAATTCAAGTTGGGAGCCAATTGAGATTGTAGTATGGCATGCAATTTCAAAATGGGGAGATTGTAGTATGGCATGCAATTTCAAAATGAGGACCAATTAAAAGAAGACATGGAGATCAAATTGAATTGAGATGAAATTCAATACCAGGAGAAGTCTGGGAGCCAATTTCGAAATCAAAGTCAAATAATTCAAATTGGGAAGCAATTCAAAGCACCAGGAGTAGATTGGGAGCCAATTACAATGGAGAAATTCAAATTGGGTGCCAATTACAAGTCAATTGCAATTGGGTGTCAATTACAAAGGAGAAATTCAAATTGGGAGGAAGTTCAAAGCCAGTTTGAAGTCTGAGAACACCCAGACATGAGAATGAAGAAGATGAAGATGAACTTACAGTAAAAATATTCTCACAAGGAAAAATACTAGTTTAACTAGTATGGGATTAAATTGAAGAATATTTTTAAATCCCAAAGATACAAGGACCACTTCAGAGCTAATCAGAGAAGTCGTTCTAACACCCAGATATTTCCACTCAACGTAAAACCAGAGGAATATCAGATGAAGTTTGGGAAACTGTTCTCATGAAGTTCAAGCTCTCAAACGGCTAGCTTATCCTTTGTGACATCTTTGCAGAAGATAAAATAAGATCTCTGACAAAAAGATACAAGATTTCAAAAATGAGATCGTCTCTTTCCAACAGACAGATTCTCATTACCAGCTATAAAATGATGAAGATATGAAGACTTGAAGAAAAGAGAGCAGACAACGAACTAGAGAGCAGAAAATACGAACTCATCAAGGAGATCGAATAGAGCAATTAAGCTTAAAAGAGCATAGAGCAAAAATCTCATTTGGTACAGAGCATACCAAAAATCTTCAGGTGAGAAGTGAGAAAAGAAAAAGAACTCAGACAGCTTCAAGAGAAAAATATTCTGAGAGTTCTTAAAACAGAGCAAAGCAGAGCATAAAAATCAAGTGTTTTACTTGATACACTCAAAGAGAGAAAAAACTCAGAGCATTCAAGAGAAATTATTCCAGATTGTTTATCTTCATCAAAGAGACCTGCACATCATTGAAGATCATCTACAGAGTCTCAGAAGTTGGAAGCAAGACAACACTTGTTTTTGGAGCAAAACAAGAGAAGGGAGGAAAGTAGCACGGAGCTGTGAAATCCTGGATTGTCACACGGAGCTGTGAGATCCGAAGCAGCAGTGTCGGAGGCACTGGGCGTGATTAGTGCGGGCTTTGTGATCAAAGCACTAGATCACGGGATACGTTTCTACCGGAGTGTGGAAGACGGGGGGAAAGTAACGCGGAGTCGTGAAATCCTGGGATAGTAGCGCGGCGACGTGAAACCCGAAGCAGCAGTGTTGTGTCACTGGGCGTGATTAGTGCGGGCTTTGTGATCAAAGCACTAGATCACGGAAATTCATTGTATCTTGGAACCAAGGAGTGGTAAATATAGTGAATTGCTCTTGGAGATAAGAGCAAGTGGAGTTGGAGGATTACACCACCTCGCGAACCACTATAAGTGTCTTGTGTTCTTTACTGCTTTCTTTACATACTGCTCTTTACATAATCGCTTTACACGAGATATACTGCTCACACAATCTCACACACACGTTATGTTTATTTATTTTCGATGTGCACCATACTCTAAACAATTTTGTTAAGAGTTTTGGTTTATCTCTGGCTTAGCAATTGTTGTGCTGTGCGAAAAAGTTTGAAAGTCAATTCACCCCCCCCCCCCCCCCCCCCCTCTAGACTTTAAGCTTACCTCTGGGACCAACAATTGGTATCAGAGCAGGCTGCCTATCTGAGTCAATCTCTTTTGAACTGATACCAACAGTGGTAGCTAGTTGGGGATTGTTTATGTTGGGTTGTGATTATTGTTATGCTTTGCCTTATCCGCCTTATCTGTTGTGAACTGCATATGCTTGTTATAACTGCTGATTGTGTCTAGCCTTATCTGTCGAGTAATTTCCGGTTTTAAAGCTAGAGTTCGTAGGATATACCTTCATGCTCAAAATGGTTTTCGTATATCTATATATACCTCTATATGTATTGTATTTCAACGCGTTGGAGTGGGTTACCAGCATCTCTCGCTGAACAGATATATTTGGCTTTCAGGAGCGTAGAAGTAGATTAGTTTCCCTTTCAGCCTGCGTGCCATATTATGCATTGTGTTTCAATGGATATTAGTTAGACAGCCTGTGCACCTGGGTTCTCTAGCCCAGGTGTGGCATAGCACCCCGTACACTTATGATATACTTTGGGATGTAATGAGATATTACCTTTATTATATAAGCTTAAAATGTCTTGAAAATCTGGGGTGTTACACATAACATAATAACAGTGAATGGACAATTCCCTGGACCAACCTTCAAAGTGAACCATGGTGATACCTTAGAGATCAAGGATATCAATTAGACACAATACAAAGTCACCATTCATTGTTAAGTTTATAAACAAAGCATTCATGCAAAGCAATAATTTCCAAGTGAACCAATTTACTAGTAAATATATTTGCAAATAAAGAATATGAATTTATTGGCTTATTATACTTTTATTTTCTCTCCTCAATATGTACCAAAACAGGCATGGTATCCAGCAGATTAGAACAAAATAGGCATATGGACCAGAGTTCATTACACAGTGCCCAATTAGAGCAGGAGGGAGCTATACTTACAGATACAGAAACGTTAACTTACTGGCTGTGCTGATGTCCAGAAGCTATAGGTTGTCGGCGAGACTATGTACCATCATCTACAATAATTATTAAATAATTTTACAGTAAATTACACTTATCTAAATTACTAAATAAATGGTTCATAGTCTTTCACAAAACACATTAAATGACATATAGTACTAACTACTAAAATCACAATCACAATGAAAAATCAAAGTATTCCATCTTCACAAACATACACTAAAATACTAAATAAAAGTCATAGCCATATGCCCATTGCCCCTACTGCAATACTGCCAAATTTCAAATCTACAATAGTTCATTAGGAAAAAAATAAACATGCTTCCACAGTTCCACATACTGCCAAGAGAAATGGTTGTATTGGTAAACTTAACAAAATGTCTCCTAAGGTAGAAAACATTTGTCAGAGTCACTGTTCTTTCCATACCCCAAAGCCTCAAACTGCACAAAATTCCAACCTTACAATTGGACCATCTCATCCATCTCGTGAGCACACAGCCAAATATACGAAGTTTATGTACATATAACAGAAAACATACACCAACAATGGGCGAAGGCGAATATGAAGTTTCAACTGTCAAAATTAAAAAAAAAAATAGCAAATATAGATAACAAGAAACACTTACCGGTAGTGGGCAAAGGTGGTAGGTGTAACACCCCGTGTTACGGCCTTCAATCCCGGATTAATTATTTAATTAATCCCGTTAATAATAATTAAATATGATTTAATTCGGTTAGGTTTCCCCTTAATTAATTAATGAGGTCCACCATGAACCGTGAACCCTTGCCTAAATGAGAGTCTTAGGCCTATTAGGAATAAAGGAAGTAGGCCTTTTACTATTCAGATTATGATTAGGATTCTCTTTAATTAATTAATATGGTCCACTATGGACCATGGACCCTTATCCCTAAAACAAGTCATTAGTCCTATAAGGAATAGAATTAGTAAGCTCATACCATTCAGGCCCTAATTAGGAGTCTTAAATATATAAATAGGGATATAGAAGGCACCTAGATCTTTCACCACAATAATCTCTCACCACACAAGAAGTTCCGAGAATCCCCTTAGGAGAAATCAAGAAAGAAGAAAGCTTAAAAAAAGACCATTCATGGCCAAGGAATTAATTAAGGCTAAGAGGTAACCCATGTCTCAAGAAAACCTATTTTCATAGTTATGATTCCCCTCTTAGGATTTCCCCATATTATTGTGTATTGATGATTTGTGATATTATTGTTGATGATTGGTGGGATGATTCTATGGGTGATCTTGATGATGAGAGGTTCTTGATAATTATGGTGTTCTTGATGATTATATGACGTTCTTGATAATTATGGTGTTCTTGATGTTCTTGATGTTCTTGATAATTATGGTGTTCTTGATGTTCTTGATAATTATGGTGTTCTTGATGTTCTTAATGATTATATGGTGTTCTTAGTATTTATATGATATTCCTACCGAATCTTGATGAATTGTGTTCTTATTGATTTAAAATTTAATTAGAACCCTAGGTTATATCGTGGAATTCGTATGGTATTATCCTGGGTATATTGGGTGGGAATTCGCATGATTGGGTGTTGATTATGTTTAGAAAAGCATGATAGGTTATGTGCCGTATGTTTCTTGATTTTGATCCATTAATTGTCTACGTGTGCTATCAATTGCGTTTGAAAGTGTCTAAGCATGGTTTCGGGTTCCACAAAGGTTCCCGGGGCATTTTTGGTGAAAAAGAGTCAGTGGGGGGTAGGTGGGGTTAAGGGACCCGCCACCTACCCGCGGCCCAAAAGGGGAGCTCCGGCAGCGGGCAGCTGCCCGCCGGGCACCCGCTGCCCGGAACAGCAAATACCGGCGGGCAGCCGGCGGGTGAACCCCCACCCACAGGCTACCCGCTGGAAATTCCCACACTTCGGGATCCCGGCTTTCCCGTTTGATGTTCCCCCGACCCCCGTGGTGTCCCAACGGACTCCGTCTATCGTGCCTATGTCTAGTTTGATTTTCGGGTACCGTGCGTAGGTCGTATGAGTCTTATATATTGTATGCTAGTTGAATTGGTATCCCGTTGACCTATGTGAAAGAAGTATGAACCCCTTAGGACTATTCTTAATATGTGAAGGATCACACATAGGTTTTGTTATACGTTTTCTCCCCCTTCCCAATGTGTTAATGTGGGTTGCATGTGCTTGCTATGTGTTATGTGTGCATGTTACCCCGATTTGGTTGAGATCAATCGGGCTATACGGGCAGTCGGGTGGGCTGAGAACCATACCGGCTGTTAACCAGGCTGGTAGAGACCGGTCAGGTATATAAATACTATATAGGGCTGAGGTCCACTATACGGGCAGTTGAATGGGTTGAGAACCATCCCAACTGTTAACCAGACAGGTAGAGACCGGTCAGGTATATAAATATTATATAGGACAAAGGTCCACTACACGGGCAGTTGAATGGGTTGAGAACCATCCCAACTGTTAACCAGGCTGGTAAAGACCGGTCAGGTATATAAATATTATATAGAGCTGCGGTTCATCGGTCGGTTGCGATCGACCCCTCCGTATTGTGAGACGGGGCAGGGTGCTGCGGGGCCGTGTCAGAGCTATATGCGCTGACCCTCATGTATGGGCATGCGATTGGTCCTGTGGCGCCAATAAAGTGTGCTATGTGATGAGATGAGAAGAATTGATGATATGACTGTTATGGAAGCGTGACCATAGGGCTCTTGCTAGTAATGCTTAATTGTGATTATTGGTTGTGCTTATCTATAACTGTGCCCTATGTGAGAATTGTATATGCTTGATTATGACTGTTGATTGTGTGCACCCCTATTTGTCGAGTCGGCTCCCTGATTTGAAAGCTAGAGTCTCTTAGGATATATCTTCATGCTTCGAAATGACTTTTCGTATATCTATGTATATAACTATATGTATTGTATTTCAACGCGTTGGAGTGGGTTACCAGCATCTCTCGCTGAACAGATATATTTGGCTTTCAGGCACAGAAGAATACGTCACTGGAGCGCGCTGGAACTTGAAGCATAGAAGTAGATAGTTTCCCTTTCGGCCTGCGTGCCATGCTTATGCATTTACATTATTGAGGATATTAGTTAGTTAGCCTGTGCACCTGAGTTCTCTAGCTCAGGTGTGGCATAGCACCCCGTACTCTTGTATTATGTTTTGGGATTTAATGAGATTTCACCTTTATTTTATATGTTTTAAATGTCTTGAAAATCTGGGGTGTTACAGTAGGCGAATTGGTTAGCGGCTATCGCAGGGGAGGCGGAGCCCTCGTCGTCGGCAGTAGCATCGTCGCCCGTCGGATTCGTCAGTAGTTAGAAACACAGGCAAACAAATAAAAAATAAGATAATAAGAAACACTTACCATGGGAGAGCGAACTGGTCGGCGGCTATCGCAGGGGAGGCGGAGCCCTCGTCGGCAGCAGGTTCGTCTCCCTTCGTCGGATTCGCCAGCATCGTCGGCTTTGCTTGCAGTCGACTGGACTACTGGAGGAAGCGAGAAGGACTTGGAGAATTTAGGGTTTCAAATTTCTTTTAGAAACAACTAGACTTGGGCGCCTTATTTTTTTTGTGGGAATGAGATTTCAGTGAAATAATTTTTAGATATCAATAGGGACGGTAACAATATTTTTCGTACCAATAGCGAGAGTATATTTTTAAAATAAATATATAATTAAAATTCCGTCACTACAATCATAAACTTTTAACTAGAGTAATTTTTTACTCTCACAAAAACTATACAAATAATACATTTAGTGAGGGGTTTTCCTACCCGTCACTAATTTTTTATCACTAAAAACTGTTTTTCTTGTAGTGATAGTTTATATATACAAAATCATTTGCGAAACGGGATACAGTATATATATGTTTAAAACCATAGATAGAAATCAACCACAAGACTCCAAATCACTCACGACAAGGACAAGGGGAAACACATCCCAAAAACTCATCAAGACACAAGCTATAACTGGACAACTCAACAAATAAGGATAAACATCCACACACTGGAACTTCATGTCACAGTGACACTTCATGTCACCAGATTAAGTACAAGTTTCAAGTTCCAACCTTATGCCTACAACCTGCCTTATTACGGTTCCAACCTTTACCTCCAGGACCCCTGTACACCAAGTCCAACCTTATTCCTCTGAGGACCGACGTCCCCACTCCGACAATCTCCAACAATACCACCGATTTCATAGTACACGAGGGTACCGTTCAATTCACACGGCCTGAAGCCACCCAACACATATGAGCCTATAGCCTAGTTCACAACTCCGTAATCACGTCATGGCCACCACGAGGACCACCGCCGTACCTTGGTGACTAATGTCCCATACCGTTAATCGTGCAATCCAGGTACAACCAACACACACACAACATCATCATAGGAATCAATCAACGGATCACAACAAAGATATGAAACCATACTCAATCAAGCAAAGGATCACAATCCGACAACAACGATGATCAACACAAGTTATCATCCACAATAGGAAAAAACAAACCACACACACTAGCATTTTAACGTCAAACTAGCATGCTTATCAAACGGGTAAACCAAACATAGTTCCCAAGAACGCACAAGACTCATCATGGTTCAACGAATCACAAGGTTGAACACTTAGCACGATTTAAGACACCAAAACCTACATGGAATCCTAACATATAGTTCTAGACATACGAAACATCAAGAAGACACTCAAATAGTTCCACAAAAGAACATCGGGAAGTCAAAACATCAATTACCGAGTCAAAAGAATCACGGGGAACAAATCCCCAAACATCCACAAAATACGTACCCGCGGGTAGCGCCACGGGTGGACCTCCACCCGTGGTTCCGCCCGCGGGAACCACTTCCCACTGGCTATGTACCCCGCGGGTGGGGCGACGGGTGGTGCCCCACCCGCCGTTCCGCCCGCGGGTACACACCCTGTACCAAAAACATCCCTTTGGGGATTTTCAACTCCAAGCTCAAATTCAAGTCCAAAACATGCCAAATCTCACCAAATACAACAAAATGACTTGAATCAAAGGAATAGCCAAGTAACGGCATACAAGAACCCTAATAACAAGCTCTAGATATGCATTCTCACAAGACAATGCATCAACACTCACATTTCATTGCAAAATCACATGTAGAATCCAAAGAATAATCATATAGGTAAGCAAAATAGATTTTGTAGAGCATGGGTTACCTCATTCGCTTAACATCCAAAACAACGCCAACATAGGCTAGGCTCAACACAAAAACCAAGCTACCGGAAACCTGTGGATTAAACCGAATCTCAACTATTAACACAAGCTATTAAAACATTACTAGTTATGCTCATAAGGAGAATTAAACCCTAAATCCATCCTTAATTACCCACAAGCTCAACCAACTAAGCTAAGCATCCTATTGTGAATTAATCACAACATTATAGTACCAATAAATAACTAGTAACCAAACTTAAGGGATAGGCCTAATAATTAAAACTAATAAACAAAAACTAACTAGTTAAGCTAAGGTAATGGTCGAACCCTAGCCAACAACAAGCATAACCACCCTTTTAACCACTAAGCCAAAAACTCAATTAATATCTTTACCTAATAATAAACTAACTAAGCTAAGATAAATAACAACAACCAAAGGCGGAGCTCACCTACTGTCTTCTTTGTCTTCTTCACAAAGCTGCATGTCGCGGGTGGAACCACGGCAAAACTCCCACCCGCGGTCCTCCCTCTGCTAGCTGCCAAGCCAGAGCATCACCACCTCACCGGAGAGCACCGCCGACGACGAGAGAAAGGGACACCGCCTCCGCGTAGCTTCGCCGCTACCGCCGTCATCACACAACTCCACTAGTTAGATGCTCTGCCCGCACCGGAGACCCAAGCCACCACCACGAATCCTAGCTTACCTATCCACACCGGAACACCGAAGGAGAAGGAGAGGCCGGAGATAACGTTGTTGCTTCTCTCACTTGCTGGTCTCTACCTGGTCACGCCGTAGCTAGGAAAAAGGAGAGGATGGATGGTGGTGCGCGTTACTTGCCGGTTCACCGCGAAGAAGAAACGAGAGGGGGGAGAAGGTAGGGTTATCGGCTGGTTTCACACAAGGGAACAAAAGAATGGGAGGTGGGTGTTGTTTGGTTTTTGTTGCTGCTGCTATGGTGAGAAGAAGCCGTGAAGAGGGAGACGAGAGGCAAGAGAGGCTAACTTCAGATTTGGAGACAAAACTATACACAATAAGCTTCAAAATCTACTAGGGTAGCTTTCTATTTTTGGATTGGGTCAAATATGACAATTGGACTAGGCTAGATATAAGACTTGGACTTAGCAATTGGGTTTGGGCAAAACTTTTGGTTCAAGGACCATACATAAATTTTGGTCATACAAAATAATATTACACATTTATATTTATAAGTATTCATGGGCTTGACTAAAACAACGCCAACATAGGCTAGGCTCAACACAAAAACCAAGCTACTGGAAACCTGTGGATTAAACCAGATCTCAACTATTAACACAAGCTATTATTAAAACATTCCTAGTTATGCTAATAAGGGGAATTAAACCCTAAATCCTTCCTTAATTACCCACAAAGTCAACTAACTAAGCTAGGCATCCTATTGTGAACTAATCACAACATTATAGTACTAATTAATAACAAGTAACCAAGCTTAAGGGATAGAACATTATAGTACTAATAGTACTAATTAATAACAAGTAACCAAGCTTAAGGGATAGAACATTATAGTACTAATTAATAACAAGTAACCAAGCTTAAGGGATAGGACTAATAAACAAAGACTAACTAGTTAAGTTAAGGTGAGGGTCGAACCCTAACTAACAACAAGCATAACCACCCTTCTAACCATTAAGCCAAAGACTCAATTAATGACTTTACCTAATAATAAACTAACTAAGCTAAGATAAATAACAACAACCAAAGCCGGAGCTCACCTACTGTCTTCTTCACGAAGCTGCATGCCGCGGTGGAACCACGGCAAAACTCCCACCCGCGGTCCTCCCTCTGCTAGCTGCCACGCCGGAGCATCACCACCTCACCGGAGAGCACCGCCGACGACGAGTGAAAGGGACACCGCCTCCGCGTAGCTCCGCCGCTACCGCCGTCGTCGCACACCTCCACCGCAAAAAGCTGCCGAGAGCTTCTATGGACTGCCCGAGGAGGAGCTCGCCAGAAACGTAGATGCTCTACCCGCACCGGAGACCCAAGCCACCACCACGAATCCGAGCTTACATGTCCACGCCGGAACACCGAAGGAGAAGGAGAGGCCGGAGATAACGCTACTGCTTCTCTCACTTGCTGGTCTCTACCTGGTCACGCCGTAGCTAGGAAAAAGGAGAGGAAGGATGGTGGTATGCGTTGCTTGCCGGTTCACCGCGAAAAAGAAACGAGAGGGGGGAGAAGGTAGGGTTGACAGCTGGTTTCACACAAGGGAGCAAAAGAATGGGATGTGGGTGTTGTTTGGTTTTTGTTGCTGCTGCTATGGTGAGAAGAAGCCGTGAAGAGGGAGACGAGAGGCAAGCGAGGCTAACTTCAGATTTGGAGACAAAACTATACACAATAAGCTTCAAAATCTACTAGGGTAGCTTTCTATTTTTGGATTGGGTCAAATATGGCAATTGGACTAGGCTAGATATAAGACTTGGACTTAGCAATTGGGTTTGGGCAAAACTTTTGGGCCAAGGAACATACATAAATTTTTGTCATACAAAATAATATTACACATTTATATTTATAAGTATTCATGGGCTTGACTATTTGAGGTGCAAGACTTATATATATAAAAAAATACATTTGGGCTCAAGGATGATTAATGGGCTTTAGGGATTAAAAGCATTTTGGGGCTAGGAATATTTTGTACAGAAATATTGGTTCACCATAATAGATAGACCCGAGCCCATTTTAAAATAAATAGCTATATAAATATTTTTATTAAAATATTTATTATTGGGACTATAATTTATTTTTAGGAAAATACGGGTGTCACAATTGTCTTTTGGATTATATGTAATTAATGCCCCTGGGAATTTCCAATGATGCATGATGAGCATATTTTCTGATTTACTTGGGTATGCATCGAAATATTCATGGATAATTTTACTGCATATGGCGACTCTTTTGACCATTGTTTGGATATTTTGTGGGGATACACGACAATGGGTCGGGGAGCTGAGGGCTACATCCATCACCCGAACCATTTTATATTTTATCCATCCATCCTTACCCCCAACTCGTATTGGGTGGACTTTTTAAAAACCCACCCCCACCCTCATCGGGTGCGGGTGCTCACTACGGTTATCCATCACTTATCATTTTATTATTTTTTAAAAAATAATAATTAAATTACTTACACATAATAAAATAATAAATTTCATTAGTGATACTAAAAAATAAAAATAATAGAAATATTTAAATATAATAACTAAATTTTAAATTTTTAAAAATAATCTTAGTAGTTTAGATATAAAAATAGTAAAAAGATACACGGAGTTATATAAACTTTTATAAATAACTACATACTAGTACTTATTTTACTATTATATATATATATATATATATATATATATATATATATATATATATATATATATATATATATATATATATATAGACACACACATGGTGGGTCGGGTGAGGTTCTAAACGGATTTTGTACATAGAACTCGAATCCAACCCAACCCACCACGGGTTTACTTTTTTAAAATCCACCCCCGACTCACCACCCACCATCACCCAAAAAACTTGGTCCATGCCAAGTGAATTTGGGTTGATATCCGTAGAGCGGATTGAAATTGCCATCCCTAATAATTTGTCTAAGGTGTTGCAGTGTTACATTGAGACAAACTTGGTCTTTAATTATAAGACGTGTCACTTTATGGTAAAAGAGGGGATAGTTCTTGGACATGTGGTATCATCTCGGGGAATTGAAGTAACAAGGCAAAGGTGGATTTAATTGCACACTTATCATTTCCTTCTAAGGGTCCGTTTGGAAACCCGAAATATGACTTTTGGAAAATGTTTTCTGGAAAATAAATTATTTTCCAGAAAACATTTTCTTTTCCGGTGTTTTGCTGCACAACGGAAAACTGTCTTTGTGTGTTTGGTTCATTTTCCAGCAAATGAGCAGGAAAATGAACAGAATTGTATACTTTAACATTTTAATTGTTTGATACTTTTGATAAAATTCTTCCGTAAATAGCACTAAGTCTTGAGAATAATTTTGAATGTATATATAGTAGATGTTATACGTACGTATATATATGTATACACCGTATGTATGTGTGTACTGTATATATCAATCAAGCCTTTTCGCTCTCGTTTCTAGTTAGAATTTGATTTGCACCCTAAGTAAAATAGAATGTATATATAATTGATGTCTTTGAACTGACTGCCGTTTGTGTTGGCGATGACATATCTCACACAGGAACCTCCCAACCATGCTCTTGTTCTCACGAGTGTGCCCGTTTTGGTCGTGGGTCACCGTTCCTGGTTCTGCGAGAGTTTCTAAAGAATTGTTGCCCATCAATTCTCCTTTGAAGCGACCCTCACTTCTCTCTTACATAGGTGATTCTTTCTCGAGTATCCCACATACTCAAGAATCATTAAAGCATCAACATGTTAGCCTCGTGCTTGAGTCACTTTTTTAATGAGGAGTGGTAGGGAGTCCGAGACCCCCACAGTGACGCACTCCGTTCCATAATTTAGTTGTCCCATTGAACCTAGGTGCCAGCTAGGTTGGGTATCCACTATAGAACTGTTTAGTCCAAAGGCAAGAGACCCATTCCTCGTGTCAACTTCTCCACAACTTCTTTGCCTAACCCTTTGGTCAGCGGATCCACTATATTGTCTTTTGACTTTACGTAGTCAATCGAGACAACACCAGTTGTGAGTAGTTGTCTAATGGTATTGTGTCTATGACACACATGTCTACACTTACCATTATACATATGACTATGTACTCTCCCAATTGTGGCTTGACTATCGCAATGCACACATATTGGAGGTACCGGTCTTTCCCAATTAGGAATATCCTCTAGAAAATGGTATAGCCATTCAGCCTCTTCACAACATTTGTCCAAGGCTATCAGCTCAGATTCTATCGTGGATCTAGCTATCACAGTTTGCTTAGAGGATTTCCATGCAACGGCTGCACCAGCTAGTGTGAACACGTAGTCACTCGTGGACTTAGAGTCCTTAATATCAGATATCTAGTTCGCGTTGCTATACCCGTCAAGTACAACGGGATATCTCCCGTAGTGCAGTCCAAAGTCACGAGTATACCTCAAGTATCTCATAACCTTTACTATTGTCTTCATGTGCATAGCACCGGGGTTACTCGTATATCTACTGAGTTCACTTACCGCAAAGGCAATATCCGACCTAGTACAACACATAAGATACACCAGACTACCAATAACCCGAGCATATTCCACTTGTGAAATACCTTCTCCGTGGTTCTTGGTCAGATGAATGTTTGTATCAAATGGTGTTCTAGCCAATTGACCACCATCCTTGTTAAATTTCTCACAGATTTTGTCAATATAATGTGATTGGCTCAACACGAGACCATCAGGACTTCTAATGATTTTAATCCCAAGGATTAAATCAGCCAAACCCATATCCTTCATGTCAAATCTCGCATTTAACATGTTTTTGGTAGACTTGATCATCCGATCATTACTACCAATGATGAGAATATCATCGACATATAAACAAAGAATGACGTAGTCGTCTATCGTTTCCTTAACGTAGACACATTTGTCACTTTCGTTTTTTTTAAACCCGTTAGTTAACATCACATGGTCAAACTTTTCGTGCCACTGCTTAGGCGCTTGTTTTAAACCATAGAGCGATTAAACCAACTTACACACTTTCCTTTCTTGGCCCGGAACCACGAACCCTTCGGGTTGTTCCATATAGATTTCCTCATCTAATTCGCCATTTAGGAAAGCGGTTTTCACATCCATTTGATGAACTTCCAAGTTCCGCAACGCGGATATGGCAAGTATCATCCTAATGGAGTTTATTCTCGTCACGGGGGAATACATGTCAAAGTAATCAAGGCCCTCGCGTTGTCGGTAACCCTTGATTACAAGCCTAGCCTTATACTTCTCGATGGAACCATCGGGTTTCATCTTCCTTTTAAAGACCCACTTGGATCCTAAGGGTTTAATACCCGGAGGAAGATTAACAAGTTCCCAAGTGTGATTCTGTAGGATAGAATCCACTTCACTTTTTATAGCCTCTTTCCACATTGGTCCTTCCGTAGAAGTCACGGCTTCTACATACGTTCGAGGCTCGTTCTCTATCAAACAAGATAGATAATCGGGTTCATTTTCTAATAGACAAGTTAGAGTACCCGAATCATATTCTAACAAGTAAGTTAGAAAATCAGGACCGAATGATTTTCCAACTCTCGCCCGCTTACTGCGTCCCGGCTCGAGCTCGGGTTCTTTCTCAGATTCCCCACTATCATTATCCATAGTTTCGTCAAACGTTCTTTTTGACGTACTTGGTCCCTCGTTGGACTTACAAGGAATTATATTTTCGAAGAAATATGGATTCCTTGATTCTATTATCGTGTTCTCATGTACGTCCGGATTATGGGACTCATGTACTAAGAACCGATAAGCACTACTATTATGTGCATAGCCAATAAATATATAGCCCACCGTCTTAGGACCTATCTTTACTTTCTTAGGTGTTGGCACCAAAACTTTGGCAAGACACTCCCACACTTTCAGGTACTGGTAGGAAGGTTTCCTACCGTTCCACAGCTCATAAGGAGTCTTATCGAGCTTCTTGCGGGGTACCTTATTCAAAAGGTAATTACTTGTCAAAATCGCCTCACCCCACGCATCTTGAGGTAGGCCCGAACTTATAAGCATCGCATTCATCATGTCTTTCAATGTACGATTCTTTCGTTCGGCAACACCGTTCGATTGAGGTCCGTAAAGTGTCGTACGCTCGTGTATTATACCTACACTTGCACAGAAGTCACCAATCAGTGCTTCGTACTCACCACCTCTATCGCTTCTAACCTTCTTAATTCTTCAATTAAGTTGGTTTTCCACTTCATTCTTATAAAGAATGAATTTATCAACGGCTTCATCTTTGCTCTTAAGCAAATACACATAGCAGTATCGTGTACTATCATCGATAACCGTGATAAAATACTTATTACCACCTCACGTTTGTTTCGATCTAAAATCGCACAAATCACTATGGATTAATTCTAGTGGTTCAATATCCCTTTCAACCGATTTGAAAGGTACTTTCATTAGTTTTGCCTCAACACAAATTTCACACTTGTTGTTTGTGTTAATTTGAAAGTTAGGAATATAGACCATGCTAATTAATCTACGCATAGAATTAAAATTAACATGACCTAGCCTACCATGCCACAAATTGGAAAACTCAAGCAAGTAAACAGAATTAACTTTGCTTTTATTGATAACAGGAATTAACTGAGCTTAAAAAGCCCATCAGTTACATATCCTTTACCAACAAATATCCCTAACTTGGACAAAA